CCCAGCCACCCATACCCACACCCACACCCCACACCCACACCCTGTACGCATGACACAAGATACACCTATGTGCCACACAGAAATAGGTTTCTTAAAAATCTTTTGTTATGTTCGGCGTTACAAACGCGGGGCCAAGACTGAAACGGGACTACAAGAAAAATATTAGCTGAGACCAGGACCAGGATTAAAAGACGTGATCCCGCAGTTCTCTAGGGATAAAATGTAAAACCCTTTCGAGAGATAACGTGTGGTTATTAGTTTACAACGAGAATTGATAATAAAATCTTAACACACTTGGAAAGTTTGTTTAAAATCAGATATTAGCAGTAATTATGCTGTTTAAATTTTGTCTTTTTCTTCTGAAACTGTTTCTAAGATATTTTTTCGCTCTACAGTGACCCTACCATATCCTACGCCTTTCATACCCTAACTCTATCTACTCTACCCAGCAGGACTCTACACTGTTGTAATAATTAAAATTGGGAGATTTCAAACGAAAAAGACATTTTTAGCTTTAAATGTAGAAATAAATAAAAAATTCTCCCTCTTGCCATCGATTATTAGTGAATAGAGTTATAGTCGACAAGAGCTTTTTTTTGTCTCAATGAACTACTTAAACGAGATACTATTTTTCTTCACAGGTAAAATCTCAGCATATGAAGCAGCAGCAAAAAAAACATTATTTTTCTTCGCGCGTGAATCCATCTCCAACACAAGAGATCGATGAAGAACGTCACTCTTTAACTATGATGCCATCAATATTAAATCAAATGGAATTATCATCCAAGGACTTCAGCAAGTTAGTTATACCGATGGCCACAATTTCTATCTATCTATTGAATGGCATGCCACATCACTTCTCATCTATCACTTTTCGATTATACAGACTACTATTTGCTTTAGAACATCGAAGAAGCAAGCTACAAAAATAAAAAAGAGACCATGTCTAACGTTTAATCTCATGCTGCCGGTCATAATTGCTATTATCTTTGCAATCCTAATTGTGATTGCATATGGGATCGCTACGATATTCACAAAGCAAACAATGACCATAAGCACAGGTATTATTAGAGTAATTTCAAACCTTGAGAACATTCAGAGCGAAGACAAAAAGCTCTGTTTTCGAGATCTGTCTTCCTTTTTGATTCGTTTGTGCAAGATGATCAGCGTAGAAACTAAAGAATTACTTAACAAACCCATATAAATTTGAAAGCTGTTTAATTTTTGAAAGGAATTTATCTTCCTATAATTTTGTAAAAAGCTATCTAAAAGGAGTATTGAAGTATATACGACAGAAAATTCGGATGTCGGTGTGAATCTTTTCCTCAAAGACATTCACACCCATGAGTTGTTGTATTTATGCATGCGAATTCTCATCATAAAAATTTTGAAAAGGTTCTAGCTAAAAAGCTCAATCAACAAAGTATGACTAAACTAAACAAGACATCTCAGCCTCCAGTTTCAAATGCTAAACTGTACCATACAAAGAAAAGACTAAATATACAAGTGTCTCTTCGAGGTTCATATTTTTCACATAATGAAAGGATAAAGAAGTAATTTTGTCCTGCGTATAACACTACATATTCTCGCTCAACTATCTGCTTATGTCGGAAATATGTCCTCACATTGTGAATACTTTATGTTTTGAGACATTTTTTCTATGGTTATATACTTTGCTACACAAAACAAAACTATGATTAATTTATGAACATATTGGGAAGAAATGAAAAGAAATATTAAATGAATGTTTTTACTCAATATAAGAACTACTTTGCTGCTCTATAGCTTAGTATATGAAGCTTAAGTTTGAGGTATCTATAAAAGTATTCCTATGGATATTTTATCTTGTGATACATGCTAGGCTGATTAAAAGATTAAAATTGATCAAACAAATTCTCATTAGTAAGAGATTCAGAGTAATGATACAGAATGTAGAAAGGCGTAAGAGATGTTAAGATCTTGATATTTGGATTTAGTTCAGAGAGCTGCGTACAGTTATGTATGTTTCTACAAAAAAAAGCAATTGATCACATGAAGGACTTTTCTCGTTGATTGAATTTTTCAACTAGTACACTCTTTGTATCATACTTTCCCTTCCATAGGAGAAGCAACGATTACGACAACTATAACTATTACAACCGCAACTACTACGACCGTGACTACTGCAACCGCTTCTACGGCAAGTACGACTACTATGACCACTTCAATGACAACCATGACAACCCCCACGACAACTACTATAACCACCAAAACAACAACCACAACAACTACTACTACAAGTAAAAAATATTTCTTACACACTTGACTTTGTAATGCAACGTACAATTGAAAAATCATACTATCTTTTAGCATCAGCTGCATGTTCTACAGGATATGTTAGAATACCATCTGGTTCATGTGTCAATCTTTTGATTGATTTTTATAATTGTGGTTCAATTGGTCACGTATGTACTTCAAATTACACAAGTTGTTCAAATGGTGTTTGCAGTAGTGCACCTGCTGTGCTACTTACAGGTGCCGTTACGGTCCCCGGCTGGAGTGGTGCATTTAATGTTGATGATGCATATGTAACTATAAGTCTACCGTTCAGTATATCGTTGTACGGTTATTCAACATCGAATGCATCAGTTCAGAGTAATGGTGTAAGTACTCTTATGATTGATCTTGTTAAACGATCTCAATTTCTAGTCATAAAATAGTTCGGAATAAGTAAAATTAAAATAGAGAGTGAATTATTATGGTTATGGTTTCCTCTAGAACACATCAACATACCCCCATCCATACCTACAATCTGAGCAGGGATGCAACGGTGACAATCAATTACCGGTTAACCGTCACCGTTTCACCGGTCCAAACCGATAAACGTAGGTGAGGTTACCGTAGTTGAACCGGTAACCATACCTACGGTTATCGTCACTATTGCGTCGCTAAATCTGAGTGGACGACGAGGATAACAGAGATTCATATGTTACACATATATTTTCTTGAACGAAAAAGCACAGAAAATTCGAAGATGTACACATTATCAGACTTCTTGAAGTCAATCCAATTCAGAAATTGGTTTGCAATCAAACTTGGTCGATTCAGGTTTCGATTTTGACACTATCCTCTTCGAAAGACATCTATTCTTATATTATTCTAAGTGAATCATATATGTGCCAAAAACAAAAAATAACAGCTTAGCATTCAATTCTATATAGTTAAATAAAAAGAATAAAACAAAGGGTAAAATATTAAAACAAACATGTTCCTATACGCAAATCATTGTTCTCAATTAAGTTTTTTCTCTAGAAACACTTAAAGTATAATCATCATTGATTTTCAAGTTACAAACCTAAAAGGGATGAAAAAAACAAGAAAATTGTATATTAAAAACAAAACTATACTCTACAAAAATAGATGTCCACGAAAATCCTTAGAGAGCTTCCGAGTTTGTTACTATAGGAAACTCTTTAAGAGTTTCCGAAGAAGTATTTCCGAGACATCGGAAACCCAAAAAAAGGTTTCCAAATGCAGAAACAACTCTACTTGGCTAGACTACACAGGCAGCCAACATTTCTCTGTGAGGAGCAACAACCATTCACAGTAACCGCAACCATTCAATGAGGGTGGTGGGTTTGGGTGTAGGTGTGTGGGTAGTGTGTTTAAGTCCGCCGAAGCTTAGACGCAAACCCAGACTCATCTACACCCCACCTATTCACACCCACAGCCACAGCCATAGCTACACCCACCCACACCCACACCGTGATACTTCACTTTCACATATTTTGTATAGTTTAATGAGACTAGTGAACATACGTGTATGAATGTTACAGTTTAGTCTCTTTGAGACAGTGCTAGAAAGCTTTTCTAGGTTGATTCAATTAAAAATTAATCATTTTATTTTAAAAATATTGATTCAAATTAGGAGTAGCACATTACTATAGCTCTTTTTACTTTTACTCGGTAATTGGTAATAATAATTATTAGTTTATTATTTATTACTAATGCCTATTTCCAAAGAAAATGGCGGGTGGGTATTTTTCGAATAACTTTTGATAGGAACATATTAGAAAGCTGCGGTTTTCACTGTTGAAAAGAGCAGATGAAAACGCATCAAACTGTATAAGACAATGCTTTTTAACTTAGACTTTTGGACTCTTTTGCAATAGTTGAACAAAGAAATACCTTAAAAACAGGTCTGATTTTTCCAGGAAAAAAGCGAAAAACACTCAAAAATTAGGGGTGGCACATTACTATTACTTTTTATTGCTTTTACTCAGTCATTGGTAATAATAATTATTATTTTATTACATGCTACTAGTAATAAAAAGAATTATTTTTTATTACCAGTAATAAAGTAATAAAACTTTGAAAGTAATAAAAGTAATTAGCAATTGAATAATAAGTAATAGCAAGTAATAATTATTACTGTAATAAAGTAGTAATAAAAGAATAGATGCAATATAAAATAGATAGAAAAAATAGGTGACATGTCGACTGCCAAATATTTTTAATTGTGGAACACTATTTAATTGATCATGTCGCATAAGTCCTGATTCCATAGGAAAAACACTATTAGAGGGTGTGGAAATGACTTTGAGTTCAAGTCAGACTCATATCTACCCACGCACTCACAACTACACTCCCAAAACACCAACAACAGAACTGCATGGACAATACAGCAAGCTAGTGAATCATCATTTAGCTGTGCTAATTATATACAAGGGAAGCAAAGATCTTTTCTATCACCTACTAATCTTTGCTATACTATGGTAATAGCAGATGCTAATGTGATTAGAAGATTAAGTCAAATATATTGAATACATTTTAATTTATCAATCATTATATAAGTTTGTTTTTGGTAGCGTAGCTAACTAGATTTCTTGATATACACGCGTACAAAGCTACATTTTTATTGTCTTCTTATCTTAAGAAAAGATATTCAAATAAAATGTGAATGCTTGTTTATCAAAAATATGAATTTCATTTATTTTAACTAGCCAATACAAAAGAAAATTCATATGGCACAGTTTTTTTTTCATAAAGTTTGCTTCAGGTAAACAAAAATGTCTTTCAATATAGAGTAAATAAAATAAAGCATTGATCCTTATTTATTTAATGACTCAAGTTGCATAATAAAATTCACATATTATTAAAATTTGAAAAATAGAATCCTAGTAGGCACTCGCATAATCTAAGACTATCAGTAATGATAATGACAGAAATTAGAAAAAAAATCGATAAGTGTTGTCTTCGTTTACACGAGTAAAACCTCATTACTCAACTAATTTAACTTTCTAAGTTTTGGTTAAGTATTATTTTAAATAAACTTATTCTTCATAATTCATAAACCAGACTTCCTCTATCAGTGAGATATAAATGTTTAGAACAATTTTTATCTAGAAAAATGGAATCTCACAGTCACATAATGCTTTGATGAGAAAATGAAAATATAATCGATAATGGTCAGTATTTCTCCTATCTTATTTGTGTATTACTTATTGCTTTCTTATTATTTATTACTGTTTTTCAATGATCATTACTTATTACCGGTAATTAGTAGTAACAATTATTACTTTATTACATTTATTACTCTTCAAAATGATTACTAGCAATAGTAATGTGCCAGCTCTAATTTTGATGCAATTTTTAGGAAGAGAAAGTTTTTTTAAATAGTGAAATGGTTTTGTCCGAAATGAAATTATAAATCATCAATTGTATTTGTATAATGACATTGAAAGATCGATCTTATATTAATGGTCATGAGTAGAGTTACAAAACTGGCTGGAATAAACTTGTATCATTATTCAATTGAGTTTGTAAAGAGAAGTATTGAAAAGCTCAAAAAATATTTAAAAAAGAGACCAATAAATGATGTTAATTGTGAAAATCCATAATAAAAACTATTGATCAATGATTTTACCCTAAAATAAAGTATTGATTATGATAGTGAGCCAGTTTTTGAGGTTACAAGTCTTCAAAAAAAATATTTTATAGAAAATCTGCCTGTTTTAAACAGCTTCTTTCATTATTTTTGAAAATGTTTTGTTGGGAGTCTATAGCTTCGCAGTCATATATGAAAATATAAATAATTTGCCGAAGTAATTTTTGGGATTAATATAGAGTTTAGTAAATGTCAGAAACCATAGAAAAATCAATTGATCCATTTTAAAAGACAAGTCTTCAATAGCAATGATATATTTCTAGTGTATCTGCCTCGGTGGTTGTTCTTCAGCTTATTCAAACACAGCTCTACCAAGCAGTACTTTCTTCGGACCAACAGCTTTTGGTTTTTGGGATGACCTTTACATATACGCAGGCACATCCCAAAGTGTCTACTATGGTACAACAGGTGTATCTCCTAATCGAAGCTTAGTCTTCGAGTTTTACACAGCTGCGTATACTTCGTCGACCCGCTATTTTCATTTCCAAATTGTATTCTTTGAGGCTTCACCTAATATTGTTCAATACCTATATTACCAAGTGGCAGATGGGGGTGCTTCAGCTACAATTGGTGTCCAGAGTAAGTATGCGTTCACATGATCATTAAACATTGTTGAGTAACTTCTTCTTCTGTTTAATTGAGGTTCGGCAAGCGGTCCCAGTATGACATATTCTGTCAATTCAATAACTGTACCGATAGGTACATCCACAACCAACATACCGACATTAACACTGACATTCAATACAACTGCTGGCACATACACAAGTTCTGGATAAATGGAATAAAGAGACAAATGTTGTGTTCTAATTAATAACATTCTCTGGTTGACGTCCTTCTCCGCCCGTACACCTTATCAGAACCACGTATTATGCTTTTTTTCTATTACACGAATCATATACCTGCTTATCACTTTCTATTGCTGTATCATCATGAATTCTTTTTCTCTTATAAGTTTTTCTTCTCTCTCATGATTAAATAAAGGTCAACAAGATATTCATGCATGCTTTCAGAAGATGCTAACAGTGTAAATTTCAACTAAAAGCTGGTATTTGACCGTTTTACATAAGATCGAAAAAATGGTGTGGACGCAGTTGTCGTTAAACTGCATATCAACTCTCAGATCCACACTCACAATAATATGCTACATGAAGTAAACAAATGTAACATGCTGTTTTTCCTAAAATAATTTGCTTTTGCTAAACTTGCTCTAAAAGAAGTGTAAAAGTGGAGAGATACAAACGGAGTTCCGCAGAAATTGTCCTAATAGCATTTTAAATAACAAATCATGTTCGAAAAATTCAATACGCAAAATGTTTTTAGTTCACAATTTAAGTATGCATACTAGTTGTTTTGAATTCAGTTTTAAATATCATTTATAATGAAGAATTTAAATGATTATTGAAAATTCAATAGTTTGTACTTGTATTTATTTTTTATCTCATCATATGAGAATATTGAATGATTCGTAAACGTTTGAAAAAAATATTGTTTTTTTTTACGTATTTACTCAGCGCAGCAGAGGATCAACGTGAACAGTAAAAACACAAGAAAGGTACATTGTATTGAATGCATGTAGGGTGTGCATGTTTCGGTGTGGACAGGTGGATTATTTCCTTCTCACCAAAACCCAAACATCCACACACACACACCCAGTCGTTGGTGCGCCTGAACAGAGATATTTAATTTTTAATTTATGTATCATCTGATACTAAGTGAAAGATGAAAGATTAACTACAATTACTAGCGGCTGACGAATGCCTCAACTTCAAACTA